TGATAGAGCGCTGGGCTCTATTAAGAATTCGCTCAGAATGCATTCGAGCAGAAGCAGCCTTAAATGACTAGTACTCCATTTTATGGGTGAACAGATGATTTACGTGTATTAATAACATTTCTTTTTGCAAGTGGACCTCATTTTCGCAAATTGGTAGTGTTGTCATTGCGACTTAGTTGGAAACGGTCCTTTGTTATAGTGGTTATCATAACTCTTGCCTCGGACCGTGGACTTGGTACATTTCCAGACGTTTCGCCGGCATCATAGCCAGCATCGTCGGTGAATCTTGCAATTTGCAGCCTCCATTAAGTCGTCCTGAGAACACGACCAAGTTGCGAAAACGAGGTCAGCCCATTCTGTGCATGAAAAGGAGACTTCGATCATACCGAAGGCCATACCATCTTGGTCTTTATACCTTCGATTTACTTTCTTTTCCACTATCTTCAACTTCCTCACCTTGTTCCTGTTGTATAATCCTTCTATCTTAACTCGGCAACCAAATTTCTTTCCGTACACGCCTTCTGGCTGGACCAGCACCTTTGATATTCTATTGTCTGCAACATTCTCAACCCTCCCTCCGCTCATTGGCCTGGTTACGCACTTTCTACTCCCATAAACCTGACTTTGTACCATTTAATCATACGAGCACACGAGATCGCACACACAAACACATACACGTACACAAGCACACACATACAGGGGCGAGCTATGCTTGAGACCCATAATGACCTGATTCTAGAGGTAGTCACAAAGTCTCGGGTCATCTAAATGGATCACTGATCCAACCATTTATGTCGCCCAGCCTATTTCTGATAGGCCGACCTCGATGCACACATTCTCTACAGATCCGCCTCTTCCTCCTCTCCAGACCAGCACTTGCGAGTCTGCCGCATTATCCGTCCCTTGTCATTTCAAGACCGATTAAAGTCACCTTAAAATGGAGTCAACAAGTCACTTTGTTCACCATGCTATCTCATTAATACACATGTTTACTATAATATGTACAAAAGCAACATGACGCCATAGGGACACAGTCTGTTGTCCTTCCAAAACGAGTTTTAAAGACTTTTATTCACCTTATTTTGTTGAGGTAAGGAATGACTGCTAATTGGTTTCCCCACAATGATATAAGTAGGTCTCTTGTTTTTTTGTTCAATTTCATATAGCATTGCTTCCTCAAAGGTATTCTCATCCAGGCTGACGTGAACTGCGGTTCTTACCTCATTTGGG